GGCCAGAGAGAAGAAGTGTGTTTTTAGTGTAGATTTACAAACCCCTAGGGTCTGGGCCGACCTCACATGGAGGGGCAGAGTGTTCCAGAGCCTAGGGCCAGCTGCTGCGAAGGCTCGGTGCCCTCGGGTTTTAAGCCTGGTCTTGGGCACTACCAGCAACAGCTGGTCAGCAGACCTTAAAGCTCTGGCTGGGGTGTAGCGCTGGAGGAGTTCAGCTATATAGGCCGGAGCCAGCCCATTTAGTGCTTTAAAAACAAATAAAAGGATTTTTTTAAATCAATGCTGAACCGAACTGGAAGCCAGTGCAGTGAATTTTTGTGGCCAGTCAGCAAACGTGCAGCTGCGTTTTGGACTAGCTGCAGGCGTTTAATTGAGGCCTGGTCCATACCCACATACAGAGCGTTGCAATAGTCCAGTCTTGAGGTAACAAAGGCGTTAATAACCCTTTCTAAGTCATTAAAAGATAAATACGACTTGGTTTTGGCCAATAGTCTTATTTTTAAAAAGCAGGATTTGACTACAGTGCTGACCTGCTTGTCGAATTTAAAAGTGCTAGTGCAGGTCACTCCAAGGTTCATGACCGAGGGGAGGATGTTTTTTTTTAGGGAGCCCAGAATATCAACCGGAGAGGCTGGAGGTTGGGGTCCAAAAAAGATGACCTCAGTCTTGCTCTCGTTGAGGTTGAGAAAGTTTTTGCTCAGCCAGGATTTTATCTCTGTTAAGCAGTCCATCAACTGCTGTAGTGAGTGTTTGACATTTGCTTTGAGAGGCAGATATATCTGTACATCGTCGGCGTAGCAGTGGAAGGGAATATTATGTTTTGTGAGAATTGAACCTAGGGGCAGTATGTACAGTAGAAAAAGGATGGGGCCCAGAATCGAGCCTTGGGGAACCCCACAGGTAAGAGGGGCTTTGGCAGAGGAGAAGGCACCTAGCTGTACCGAGAAGCTACGGTCTGTCAGGTAGGACCTGAACCATGTAAGGGCAGAGCCTGTGATGCCAGCGGACTGTTCAAGCCGTGACAACAGGATGCTATGGTCCACAGTGTCAAAGGCAGCTGTCAGGTCTAACAGCACCAAGACAGCGGAGCTACCTGAGTCGGCGGCTAGGAGCAGATCATTAAAAACTCTTAAAAGGGCTGTTTCAGTGCTGTGCATGGGTTTGAAGCCAGACTGAAACTTTTCATGGATTCCATGCATGGTTAAAAAAGACTGCAGCTGGGCGTAGACTACTCGCTCCAGGGCTTTTGATAAAAAAGGTAGCTGGGAGATGGGCCTAAAATTTGCGAGAATGGAGGGGTCGAGATTTTTCTTTTTAAGTAGTGGCTTTACCCACGGCATGTTTGAAGGCAGCTGAACTGCTCCAACTGAATCAAAAACATCTCTGAGAAGGCGAGAGGGAATGCTGTCTGAGGTGCAGTTTGTCGGCCACAGGTGCTTGACTACATCCGAGAGAGAAGAGAGGGATACAGGCTCAAAGTGGTCGAGGACAGCAGGGCACAGAAAAGGAGCAGGATCTGGGGTAGCACTAGTGTGAGCTAGCCTAAGAGCAGATACTTTTTCAATAAAAAATGTAAGAAACTTATCACAGAGAGTAGTCGATGGGACAATAGAAGAAACATCACAGGGATTAATGATAGAGTTGAGGACATTAAAAATAACCTGAGGTTTATGGCTGTTTTTGGAGATTAACAGAGAAATGTGCTCTGTTTTGGCTGCTTTGACTGCCGTCTGGTAGTCGGAAAGGCAAGCACGAAGGATTTCTAGGGAGACATGGAGTTTATCCTTTTTCCATTTTCTCTCTGCACGCCTGCAAGCGCGTCTGAGAGCACGAGTACAGTCATTGAGCCACGGCTCTGAGAGAACTTTGGTGCGTCTAAGCGTAAAAGGAGCAACAGAATCCAATATTAGGGTACATGTCGAGTCAAACATGGAGATAAGCTCATCAGCATTAAAAGCACAGTTCACATCTAATTTACAGATCGGAGAAGCATTAAAAACATCAGAGAACTGTGAGGCAGTCAAGGGGTTAATCGAACGCAGACGACGCGCAGGGGCACGTGATTCGACTCCTGCGGAAGGGATGGAGGTTGTAAACAGAACCGGTAAATGGTCTGAGATACGCGTTGCTGCACATATTTCATCCACAGATACAGACAGTCCAAACGATAATACTAAGTCCAAAGTGTGTCCTTTTTCATGTGTTGGGCCAGCCACGGACTGAACGAGACCAAAAGAATCAAGGAGATTTAAAAAGTCCCTAACCAGAGGTTTGGACTCGCAACACACATGGACATTGAAGTCTCCGGAGATGTGGAGACCACACACTGGTCTTATAAAACATAACCTTCCTTGCTCAAAGCTACATTGGAGTGTTCCTTCATCTGTTCCATGAACCTGATAATTGTGGATTCAACCCCACTGGCACGTCACTGCAAATTGCTCCCCCCCCCCCCCAACACTGAGTAGCTAACAGCTACTTACAAAAACACCTTCTTACTGGGTTATATCACCACCACATCAGAGCATCAAGTGACACTAGGGGACACAGGCTGGCATTCATACAGCTGCACCAAACATACGCCACACACCGATGCATGCATATTACATGAAAAACACTCCTTGCTTTTATTGTCAATTAATCTGACATTTATAATTAATTAATGAATAACTAGTTTGCCAGGAAAAGCCCAGATCAGTGTTTCCCCAGATAGATGACAGATAATTAATTAAAATCGTCTTTTTTTGTACAATCAACAGTGTATAATCCATACTGCAAAAATATTAAAAATATATAAAACAACACAACACATCCACACATATGAAGATCTGTCAGGAAATAGCAGACTCCTGCTTGTACATTTACTTATATATTATATTTTCAAATGTAACAACAGTTGCTGATAAATGTTCTGTTGATCCACAGCACATAATCCTGATGAGAAACTGAAATCTGCAAATATTTGGCAATTCCGACTAATTGATTATTTGCAGTTTCTGCACTAAATATATGTGTATGTGTTGAACCCGGTGATGGGGTGTCCTGGGCTAGAAATTGTACAAATCCTACAAACGATCTCCTTTGCAACGACCTCTCTTACATGACATCCACTATCTATGTTCCCATTGTCCTTATGGTTTTGATTTGACTGCAAACACACAAGGCACACTCCAGGAAAAATAATGTCCACTACATAAAAGGGTTCTTGTGTCCTCCTGAGCATCATGTGAATCCACTATACATTTAAGTGCGAGCCTTACAGACTTCCTCCAGCAATGATCAGCATCAAGGCTTGACAAAGCTTTGTGTCTGATGATACTGGATGTGGGCTGCTCCTTAATATCAAGGCTCGTAGGGCCAGTGTATAATATCAGCAGCAAAGGATGTTTGGATATATGGGTACATACTGTATATCCTCTCCTAATAATCTCATCTCCTTGTGGAAGGCGGATGACAGGCAGGTCAAGTTGTTCATGCTGTATACAGCTCTTAACTTTGCAATCACACAAGTGGTTTCTTTTGTCAGTCTGAATGTTCCGTTTTTGTACAAAACTGAACACTAAGTACCTTGTATAATGATGTATTGAATAAAACAACAAAAAACCCTTGAAGGCAATTCAATTTGATTCTGTGTATTCTGCACTAAGACACAACATGCTGCAGCTGTTCACCATGACCACTAAGCATAATCAATTACATGAATCAAATCTATTCAGTTGAGCCAGAAATTCAGTTATCTAATAAATACAACTCCAGAATCAAATAATTACATTTAGAGTGAATAAATCACTAAAATTCTTCGAAAAACAGATTAATTGTGTTGATTATTAGCTTGATGGGCAATGACCCATTAGGAAGCTATATGCTTTTGTGAAAGGTGCTTGGTTACGAATGCAATGCTAGTATAACATCTCTGAATAAGTAGCCGAGAGAGATATTTGATTATCACTTTGTCTCAAGTCAATAACAAACACTTTAATTGAAACCTCCCCCAGCGCAGGAGTGACAGGCCTGAGCTTGTTGTATGTGTGACTGGGATCCACTTTGTTTCCTGTTAATAAAGTTGTCTATATATGTTTGAAAACCACTTCCTAGGATTAATCACAAAGATGTATAAAAGTCAAAGAAGTGGTTTAACTTTGAGAAGGAAATCAAATTGTGGAATACACAAACAAGATGATTAACAAATAAACGGAGTGCTCGTGTATAAAGAAATTATCTGGGATTTTTAAGGTCTGTTTAATCCACATATACTTTATTTTGTTGGTTTCTTTCCTTATTAGTGTATACATTTAATGAGAAATGTACAATTAATCCATGTAAAAAGCTAGATGTTACAAGGCATTTCAAAACATATTTTTATCATTTTTTTATGTTTAAATTTTATACGTTGAAAACTATTGAAATGAACTAAACTAAACGTTTGACTCTTACCACTTCATCTATATGAAGTTATAAACATACACAAAGGTAGTTTGTTTTAGTTTCTTGATGTACAGTAAGAGGACTGTTATGCCATGGATAACCCAATCCACATGACAAATTCCAAGACACTTTTATTTAATATACTGTACTGTACACATATTTCTGTTAACCCTCAGCTCATGTGTGCGTAATAGAGGTTAAAGTAGACTATTAAAAACTTAACAAAGCAGTCTGGTTAAGTCACAGGAAAACAATCAGCCCTCTACTTTTGATAATTACAATTATCACATTTTCTCTAGAGCCGGGGTAAAAGAGCATAGAGGTCAGCCCTTGATAAAGCCATTTTGACGTTTGTACACACAAAGCCGGTCAGAGCAACAATAAACAGTGAAACCAAAGTCACTGACAAATCACCGCAAGTCTGGACTTCAGTTTCAAGCTTGTTATTCTAAATTAACAGCCTGCTTATATAATAAAACTCTCATTTGGGTTAGAGTAAATTATCCTCTGAGAAGAAAAGTATTTTGAGTAAGGACAACACTGAAGACAGTAAAGAGAAAGTAAAATCTGCTTACCTTAATGAGAAGGTATGCTGACTGGGGATCATTGGTGTTGAGTCTCGTCCTGAGCAAAAATGGTCAAACCTTCTACCATGTGTGGTAACAGCATAACCAGAACAGTTGAACACAGACTTGTGCGTAGCCACTGTTAAACTCTGGTGTTCGCTTGCTCTCAGGCACTCCCTCACACTCAGTCAGTAAGCGAGAGGATACTGTCAGTCAGCAGCAGCTGTGTTAAGGGAGATCCAAGAGACGACAGATAGAGACAGACGAGTGGCTGCCTTGTGCTGCTGGTCTCTCCTCCTCTCTCTCACATGCTCTACTCTCTCTCCCTCTCCTCCTCTCTCTTTCTCACTCTCTCTTCCTCTCCCTCTCCTTCTCACTCTCTGCCTGCAGCTCCCACTGTCTCCCCCAGCCTCTGTTGCTCTGCTCTCACTCTCCACTAAAATATCTTCCCTGTACACACATGCAACCCTTCCACTACACACCCCCTTCTCTCTCACACACACACAAACCACTGTCAGTGTCAGCCTTTTATGTTTGTTTTTGTTCTTCACAAAGCATGCTGTCATTGTAGATAATGCCTTTCAAAGGGCTTTAATATCTCAATCAGTCTGTATTTGATGGTCTCTTTTTTATTTTGTACCATTTATCTCACATTTAACATCAACCCCTGGACCTACTACTACTAGTCAAGCACTCTCATGACAGTGCTTCTCCCCCGGGAAACCTAAGCAAACCCTTTAATATTTATTTTGAATGTACAGTATGCACTATGTTCAGAGCACAGGAGAAAGACAGAGGCTTGGCTCTAATAGGGAGCCAGACCAGAAAGATAACAGTGGCGAGTCAAAGGGAAAATGAGATGATACAAAATGGAAATCTGAAGTGGAGAGTTCTGCCGGGTGGGGTTAAGACTTGTGCACGGATCTGGCTTTGAAGTGGAAATGAAAGCAAAATTTAAGGGTTAATCTTTGCTAGTGCACATAATTGCTACCAGCAAAGGCACTCTTGTGATTGTGTGTACACCCTTGCTCCCTAGTCTGTCAGAATGCAATTTAACAATGCACTGGCAGCATCTACTGGGAGTACCAAAACAGAACAACAAAACCTTCAAATCAGAGTGACCTAAGAAATGCAATTTATATATGCTGTGTAATGAATATTATAGTACTTTTGCATTCATTCATGAATATATTTTAATGAAAATATATGCCTTCATTCATTGAAGAGCTATGTAAGTGGCATAGATCAGATGGAGAGACAAAACAGGACATGAGGCAAAGCTGCAGCATGTATGCATATTGTATAATCTTGATATTGTGACATTATATATTCATACAGATAAAAGGTACTACATAAGTAGATTTACATTTTCATATATTTTAGTAACATTTAAAATCTACATTATCATATTGTATCACATATAATATATATAATCAATGACATATATATTGTTTTATTTTTCTATTTCTGCGTTGCCTTTGTAAAGCTTCATTCTGCTGCAGCACAATCTGTGCAGTCTCCAATTTTACTAGGGACATAATAATAATAACATGGGATTTATTTAGCGCTTTTGCAAGTGATCAAAGCCCTTTACATCACATTATATTACATTTTAATTATTAGACATGTAATACATTCAATACTGTGGACAATACCCACAGGAGAGATTTGGGGTGAAGGGTCTTGCCCAAGGACACATCGAGTGACCTATTTACACATTTATATTACATTTATATAGACCAGACATTATTTGTTGTGGTAGTAGTGAGATGCAATGCATCTTTCCTTATGACTGTTCATTCCCAGCCATCCTATAGGTCATCATGCATCATCAAGGTCATCCTCATGTGTCATCGTCACTATCTCCCATGAATACACATGCATGAGGAGGCGTGTGGTGCAGTGGATGTGCGTTGGTGTTCGGATCAGGGGGTCACAGGTTCAAACCCCACTGCAGTCAGCATGTCGTTGTGTCCCTGGGCAAGACACTTCACCCCAAATTGCTCCTGTGGGGATTGCCCACAGTATTTAGTATGTAAGTCGCTTTGGATAAAAGCGTCTAACAAGTGACATGTAATGTAATGTAATGAAAGGGAAAGGCTGTTTGATAAAAAGCACAACTCTATGTTCAAAGTGCATGTACAGTAAAAGGAGGTGCAAAAGCTTGATTGCCGCCTCGTGTAGTTTTAGTTACATTCTAGATGAAAAGCAGCATCAGGGGCCTCATTTATAACGCCTTGCGTAGGATTGACGTAGGAAGGTTGCTTACGTAGTACAAAGCACAAAAATAGGTACATACATTTTCCGCCATTTTCCGATTCACAAAACGTTGCGTACCGGCGAGGGAAGTGCGTACGGCACTCCCTACGCCTGTTTCCCTTGATAAATCACAATCGACTCGTAACGCCCATATTTGCCTATACATAGTCAAAGAAACGCCCATTCATTCATTCATTTTGACTGACTGCATGAAGAAGATCGCAGGAAATTACGATAGAACAGCTAAAAAAGACATCTCACACCGTGTCAGATTTTGGTTATTGTGGGGAGGTCGAGATAAATCATATTGTTTGGTGGATGCAGTTTGAACCAGAGTAGCAGCATGGAGGTCGGATCGTCACCAAAATAAATAAATAAGTGGTCCGAAAAAAGTTAATGACAAAACAAATACACATAACCTTCCTCAGGCAGTGTGTTTGTCCCGGGGACAGGAGACACCCCCTTGATGAGAAACTGTAAGAAATGATCGGGGAATCCCTCCGGAGTGGAGTCATGACGACTGGATCTGAATTATTTTGTTGTATTTGGTGGTTTGTGTTCCAGCTGTCGATCAGCAACTATATATCCATAATCCACCAGTTAAAGCAAATACAACTAATGGATTGTGTTATATTAGCTGTACAATTTACCACATATGGTGTTCTTAGTTTCCATACCTCCTGTGTTTTACGAGCGACTTATCAAGTCTTGGCAAACGGCATAAAACACGATTAAACGTGATAGTATATAAAACCATGCTCGTATCTACAACCTATAGAAATGCAAAACGGCGTCAGTTTAGACGTAATTCTGTCCTCCTGCTTACCGCATCATTTATGAGAAAACATTTCATAACATTAACACAACATATTCGAGGTGGTTTTAAATAGCATATCCGTATTTATTTATTTCTCCAAGTTATGTTTTTGTGTGCACTGAGGAGTCTCAAACAGGCGTTTGTTTAATCATTTTAAGATTGGCTTTAATCAATGTTTGAAAATGAATTCTTCATATTTGATAAATGAGAGGTAACATTTTATTTATGGTATTATTTCCACATATTTCTCTCCATTCTTCCTTCTGCCAACGGTGTCGCAGTTTCTCGTCTCTCCCGTTTGTGTGCTTAGTGCGTACGCATGGGTTAGAGTTTGCGTGGAGGACAGCACATTTTCCCGTCAAGTTAGTATTTTATAAATCGCAAACATTGCGTAGAAACTGGCGTACGCCATTTTTTGAGCGTATATCCCTTTATAAATGAGGCCCCTGGTCTCGAATATCAGCCATATATTGACCATCAAGCCTAATCAGAATTCAGCCATAAACAGTATCTCCTATTGGCGCAATTTCGTAGCAGTGTGACTGTGAACATGTTGTGGTTGAGCTTTGGTTTTGAATTGGACCAGAACTGTTTTCAACCCCAAATGCAAGCCAGAGCTTGGCTGTTTATAAAGCCTATACGTTGTCCTTTTTGAAACTGTTTTCAATATTGTTACCTTTTTATCCTTGAAGAATTCTAACTCCAACTAAACGTTAATACTCAGTAAGTGCTTGTGGTACACATCTCCTATAATTTCTTTCTTAGATGTAGATTGCTGTTCCTTTTCAGACCAGAGCTCCATTGTGTGGAAAGTACCCCGACCCAGGAAACCTTTTAAACAAACCTGACCATGGAATACTTAACTTCTACTTGACTGACAGGGGGATCGTGAATGCATGAGCAGTAAACTTTTGGTGGACTCTAACTTCCTGCAAAAAAAATAAGCTTATTAGGATGTTTCATTGAAAATATGCTCTAAAGGAGTTACTATATGTATGCATGTGTTTTACAATTTATAATATTAGAAATCCAAATAAAAAAGTATGTGTTTTAAACAATAAAAAGGTAGTTTTCAGTCACCTGGTAAAAGAGAGTCTTAAAGGGGACCTATCATGCAAAATGCACTTTTGTACGTCTTTTATACATGAATATGTGTCCCCGGTGTTCCAGGGAACTCACCAAGTGTCAGAAAACACAACCCTCTCTATTTTCCTCCATACCCAAATCTCTAAAAAAGGGGCTGCAACGGATCTGATAAAAACTGATCCAGATTTGAACACTGTCCTGACGTCAGGACGGTGGCGCTACGGCTATTGGGCCAACTCCACCAATCAGGAGGAGACAGCCACGGCCATTGCCGTTCGAAAGCGCTGGAGACGCTGTAGTAGATATGCCAGGCCTGTAGATGGTGCTGTTCTCACAGAATCAGCCCTTGCAAAAACAGTGCTACAAAAGTGCAAATTGAGCGAAATGAGGCATGGCTAAAATGCATGATCTGTTTGGTATTTTGAACAAAAAAAAGTATAAATATGCCTTATATAGGTATGGTCCTATACTATATTATTAAAATATAGCATGATAGGTCCACTTTAAGTTATCATAAACTACTCTAATGGAAATTATGATTATCAGATCATTGAATGCTATGATGTTATATTTAACATGTAAATAATACAATTATGTAAGCCTTGCATGTCAAGTGACAGTAGATCTCAGCACTTAGGAAGGTGATCAGTCACAAGGTGCCATGTGACCACAGAGTGGGTGATCAGTGATCTGGGCATGAGTCTATTGTACTTAATAGGGTCATGGGTCAGTTATCTCATGACTAAGCATGTATTCATTGTAACTGTATAAAAACTCTCTCTTCAGTTTGAGTAGTTGCTCTTGGCTGTGGAGACATTGCTCTTCATGTTGTTTGCCTCTTTTGCAAAAGATTAAAGAACCAGAAAGACATCTCTTTGACTAGATCATATCAAGAATTTCCACCACAC